ATCAACAAAGAAAAAAAAATTGAATTTAAACAAATTTTATGATTTTCTGTCAAGGCTGCATTGTTGAGTGGGAAATGTTAACCATTATATATTTATATTATGTTGAAGGCTACAGATTCCATTCATTTTACATCATTAAAACACACCCACATATACATATATGCAAAAAATATATCAGTATATCCAACATATACAAAAACACTGAAAACCCCACAATAAGAAAAAAAAACCTAGTTAAAAAGTGGGCAAAATCTGACATCTCACTAAAGATACACAAATGGCAAATAAGCATATGAACAGTTGCTCAAAATCGTAGGTCATTAAGGAATTGCAACATGGATGCTGCTGGAGGCCGTTATCCTAAGCAAATTAACACAGGAACAGAAAACCAAATACCGCATGTTTTCACTTACTAGTGGGAGCTAAATATTGGGTACTTAAGAACATAAAGATGGCAACTGCTGATACTAGGGACTACTGACAGGGAGTAAGTGAGGGAAGGGTTGAAAAACTATTAGGTACTATGCTCAGTACCTGGGTGTTAGAGCAATCATACCTAAAACTTCAGTATCACAAAATATACCCAGGTAACAGACCTACACATGGACCCCATGAATCTAAAATAAAAGTTGAAATTATTTTAAAAGGAATTGCAAATTAAAACAACAATAAGATACCTCTATACAACTATTAGCATGACTAAACTCCAAAAAACTGACAGTGCAATATGCTGGCAAGGATGCAAAGCAACCAAAACTCTTGCATTACTAGTGGGAATGCAAAATGGTATGGTCACATGGGAAGACAGTTTGGCAGTTTCTTAAAACTAAACATACCCTTATAATATAATCCAGCAGTTATGCCCCCAGGTATGTACCCAATTGAATTGAAAACTTCACACAAAAGCCTGAACATGAATATTTGTAGCAGCTATATTCATATCACCAAAAACCAGAGGCAGCCAACATATTCAGTAGATAAGTGGATAAACAAACCATGGTACATGTATGCCTTGGAATATTATTTAGCAATAAAAATATATTGAGCTGTGAAGCCACAAAAAGACAAGGGGAACATTAAGTGTATATTGCTAAGTGAAAGAAACCTGAAAAAGCCAGTCTGAAAAAGCCACATACTGTATGATTCCAGCCATGTAACATTCTGGCAAAGGCAAAACTTTAGAAACAGTGAGATCAATGGTTGCCAGGGCTTTGAGGAGAGCGGAAAAAGGATGAAAAGCTGAATCACAGGGGATTTTTAAATCAGTGAGAGTATTCTGCATAATACTGTAATAGTGGATACATGATATACATTTTTCAGAACTCATAGAACTATATAAAGCAAAGCATGGACTTTAGTATAAACTATAGACTTTAGTTAATATTATATATAAATATTGACTCATCTGTTGTAACAGATGTGCCACATTAATGCAAGATTTTAATAATGGAGGAACTGTGGGGGGAAATGGGGATTGTATATGGGAAATGGGAACTCTATTTTCTGCTCAACTTTTTGTAAATCTAAAAGTGTTCTAAAACACAAAGTCTACTAATTTTTACATGCAGCTGACTTTAATAATATGATTGACTGTAGAGAAACTACTTGTACTGGCATTTTACATTATTTATTCATGACCCAAATATATGGAACATATGGGATTTATTTTTAATTACTATTAAAAATGTGTTTGGTAATGGATGAAGATCTGGTTACCCAATGGATAACTTCTTTTTGTTAAATATGGACAGTAAGGAGGAGTAAGGTCATAATAAAAACACACTCTGGAAATTGTAGGATACAGATACTGGATATACAGACCAGTGTTTCACTTGTAAGTCAACAGTATCTCTTAGGTGTTTGGGAATGGAAAATAACAGCCAGTAATATTTTAGAAACGTGAACTGATTACTTTAATTATGATGTCATCAATATATCTGGATATTAATAAATATATACAGAAAATCAGTTAGTATTTTCTCCTTCCACAGAAAAAGAAAATGAGTGATACCCAGCAGTATATGCCAATTGCAAAACAAACAAACAAACAACAACAACAAAAAAGCCAGGAAAATAGGAATTCAGAAAAAGAAGTGTTATCCTAGGTAGTCAAGGGAGGATTTGAGGAATAGATAGAGCTTGAATTAGATCTTCATGTATTAATAGAGTTGATGTAGATAGAAAGTATGGAAACATGCTAATTGAGAAAAGAAAGTACTGTGTGCAAGGCTAGAAGCAAAGATTCAAAAGTCATGTTCAGAAGATTGAAACTAGAGCTGTATGTCTGGAACAGGAAGTGTAACAAAATAGTGAAAGGGTGGAAAAAGAGTTAGGGCCAAATTGTGGATGGTCTTGAATGCCAGTTTAAGGAACTTGAACTTTTATTTGTAGACAGCGGAGTATCGTTAAAGTTTTGAACTATGAAAAATGTCAGTATAAAAATCGTGTTTTAGGGAAAGGAACTGAATGAGAAGAGTAAGAGGAGGAAATGCCTAGAACTGTGTAAGCCCAGCTTTCTTTCTATGCAAAAGTTATCAGTTGGTTTTCCTGTTGACCTGCAAAGGGTTATTAATGTTATTTTTTAATGTTAAAAAATACATGTTTTCAAAGTGCCTCAGTTCAGATTTCTAATGCGGGAAATTTCAGTAGTTATAATCCACATAAACAAAAGCTCTTTGTTGCCTTCAATTTTTAAGAAAGTGAAGTAGTCCTAAGACTAAAAAGTTTGAAAACAAGTTTCCTAAATTAGTTCCATTTCTTTTAGTCTGTTTTTTCTCAGTTTGACTGTGTGTTGTAAATTGTACCCTTATATTTGTGTGATGAATATCTTTGACTATTTTATGACTCTCTTTAGACATAGGTTTATAAATAGAAATTCCATGGCATATGCATATAGAAATAGTGAATGTACTCCAAAATGTCTGGAGAATTTCTTAATGATATTTTAAACTATCAAGTTGCAAACTGTAATTAAATTATGTAAGTAAATAGTAAATCCTGTAAAACGTTCGTGTTTGATCAAGCTGGTTATTCATTTAATGTTAGCATGGCTTTAACATCCTAATACTATTAACATAATAAGCCTAACATACGTATTTATATTGTTATGATTTTTGTACACTGACACAATTACAAGGATAGTAAAAAATTTTTCTGATTAAGTGCCGTATTTTTGACATATTAAAACCCTGTATCTTAGTGTTATATTTTTGACATATCCTGCATGTAATTGTGCCAATTATTAAATATATTTGTGTGCGTTTGCTATTGTAAATTCAAAGAATTGCCTTTAAAAAGTGATTAACCCTGATTCTATCTCCTTTTGCCCTCTGGAACATCTTCAGTCCCTCTCTTCCTTGTCTTTTGATTACAGGAATCTCTTTTCCAAATTTTTCTCCCAATCAGGGTTGTTTTAAGATTGTAGATTCTACAATCATTCTACTGTCATTTTGTGATACCACCCTAAACAGATTAAACATTAAAATACATCTATATTGCTCAATAGATAAAATACTTAATAATTTTTTAAACTTTCGTATACTTTTTTTGAAATTATTTGTCCTAAAGTAACTCATTGAATTTAGCTGTACATTGTTTT